GGCGCCGCTCCTGGGCGGGCGCGGCCTGGGGACACGGGGCTGCCAAGTCGCACACAAGCTGCGGCCACGCGGGGACGAATCCCGCCCGGTGCCCCCGGGCCTGGCTGAGCGCAGCCCGGGTCTCCTCCCGTCTGGAGGGCCGCAGGTTGGAAGAGACCTGAGGAGACCTCAGGGCCAGCCCCAGCAGCATCGTCCCAGCCAAGGCTTCGTCTAGCCGGGGTGGCAAAAACGCCGAGGACGGGGAGTCCGCCACCTCCCTGGGTGACGTCCCAGCGCTTCACCACCAGTGCAGCCCGCTTTGCCCTCGGCCTTCTTGCAGCAAGGCCGCGCCGTGGACTCCTCAGTTGGAGGCAGGCCCAGTGGGGTGCAGGGGGGGCTCAGGGACAGGGCAGAGCTGCCTCTCTTGGCATTGCACCCACACCTCGGGTGGGGCATTTCTCAGTAAAGACCCAGCTGCCACCAACCCCAAACCAGCCAGGCTTCATGTGCCCCCGCAGAGCCTCAGGGTGAGGGGACCATGAGCTCTCCAGACATCCGTCCTGGTCCACGCTGGTTCCTGTTGCTCACGTCTGTGGGTGCTGATAATGCTGCAAGGACGGCACACACTCCATTAATCCGGCGCGCGGAAGGATTAGTGCAACATGACAATCAGGGAGATTAAAATGTTGCCTCTTTTTGTCCTAATGCGAACAAATTCTGCAACATGAAACACACAAAGGCAGTTTCTGATGCAAAAATAATGAATCTCTAATTGCCCGCGGGCTGTCGGCCACATGTGTCTCATTAACAAATCATGTAGGCGTGTTCGCGCGGCGTGCACCCTGTAGACACAGCCTGAAATGCCATTAATAGCCATGTTTTCACATGGGGACCAAACAAGAGGGGTGGGAAAAATATTCCCACAGGTTTGATGGCACTTTGCACCACCATCCAAAATGCTGGGGTGAATTCTGTGCTGGCGAGAGGCAAGCAAGGGAGCGCCCAACAGCGAACGTCTGTGCCTGCATTGCTCCGGCCTGGGCCCCTCGTGCAGCACCGTGGGCATGGGGCATTCTCCCAGCAGTGCGGGTTCTTACATAAACCCACGGCGTTTGCTATCTGCAGGGCATGGGCACAGCTTGGGCCCCGGAGAGGTCATAAACCATGGGGAGCCTGGCTGCAGAGCCACTTGGGGCAAGACAACTTCTGCTTCTACAGCCCAGGCCTTGGCCTCTCCAATGAGAGCTGGAGCCTGAAGCAGGTACTAGGTGCTGTTGGGGACAGTTAGCTTTAAACCCCAGCCAGGGGCCAGCACCTTTGCAGAGCCCTGGCACTCCTGCTAAGAGCTGCATCAGGAAGTGCATGCCCTTGCTTCTCCCTTTGCTCCAGCCTAGGTGTTTTGTCTGTCCACACCCCTAGGCTTTTAATTCTGGATGCTTCTGAGCAAGTTGCTCAAGCCCAGCAACCCCCGAGCTGAGCCCCTGTTGGCTTCAGGCTTCCCCAGCCTCGAAGAGCGAGGAGCCCATTATCCAACTCCGCCTGTGTTAGGGATCATGGCTGGGCACTGTTACCCACAGATTCTCTCTCTCTCACACACACGTGCACACACACCCTCTGTAGACACCGCTGCTGGCCTACAACCCAAATCAGTCTCCCCACAGCCATTAGTGGAGCAGCCAGGACAACCTGGCACCGGCCCACAAGCCAGAGAAGGTTGGTGATGCCTGGATGTGAGACACAAGCGGGCACCAGTGCGAGCTGCTCTAGCTCCTGTGTTTAGGAGACCTCAGCACAGGTAGGTCCTCCCTGCAGTCAGAGCCTGGCTGGATTCTCAGTGGCAACGACACTTGCTTTCCAGTGAGCAGCCTACAACACCCTGTGGGCCCTCTCCTATCCCCCCTCTGCTCCTAGGGCCCACAGGAATCCCCCCTGCCCCCCTTTCCGTCATGGCAGAGACTATGTGCAACCCACTCCCCCTCTGCCAGGCCCTGTATGGCCCCCAAAGCAGGGTCCCCTCCCTCTTTGCACCCCATTCCAACCATGGCAGGGTCCCTGTGCTCACCCCAATGATTCCCCATCTCACCACCGGTCTGGTTCTTCTTTGGTGTCTCAGGTGAAGTTTCTTTTGATTAAAGCTCTTTCTTTTCCTCCTCTTCCAGGGCAGCCACCTTTCAAGCTCCCTTGGGGAGTTGAGCTGGTGGTGGGGCTGGGATGCTGGAAGACATTTGTTTTTGTGACTGCCGTGCAATTATGGGGGGCACCAATCCAGGCAGTTGTGAATGCCCCTACTTGCTGCGTGTGGGGCACTGTAGGAAGGGAAACAGGTAGGACATTACTCCCCAGTCATCCCTTTGATGCATTACAGCCAGTAGCAGCTACTACAGCCCAGCCCCTCCTGCTGCTGGGGCACTGACCAGCTGAAAGTCTGAGCGTGGGACGTGTGCTGGGTAGAATGCCCTTGGCGGAGCTCTATGGTGGGCCCAGCAGTGATAGGGCCCACCACAGAGGACAGAAATGCTGGGGCTGGGGAGGATAGAAGTGCAGGGGGCACAACAGAGCAGGCAGAAGGCTGCAGGAGCTGACGGCTGGTCTGTAGCTGATGCTCGTGTCTGTAAGGAGGGGGCAGACCACCCAGCAGTCAGGGTGGTGAGGAACAAGGGCCATGTGCCCTGAGGGGGGAGGAGGGGAAGTTCTGGGGGGGACTCAGCAGCTGTGCATCCTGCAGAGACTCATCCAGCTAGGACAGAGGACTATGGTCTTGATTCTGGTCCTAGCAATGCCACCGATTCCCTGCGTGAGCCCAAGGTCAGTCACAGGCGGCTGCAAGATGCAGTCAGGTGGCTGCAAGAAGTAAGATCAAGCTTGCTCAGGAGGGGTGCGTTTGCAGCGCCTTGAGATCTTTCCAGGAAGCATCCTCCAAGTGCTTCCTGTGTGCATGGCAGGGTTCTCTTCCCCTAGCCCAGCCACAAAAGAGAATGAGAGCCGCTGCACATTCAGCTCCTCATTGCTCAACCGGACACAGGGGTTCCCTGGCTGCTTCGGCTTCCGTAGCTGAGAACCACGGTTCTTTTCGGTGCTTCTCCCATGGCTTTGCACATGGGACATCGGGGGGAAGAGCCAGTGCCTCCATGGGTGGAAAAGCTTCCATCAGCCATGGTGGATGGGAGCCCAGAGGCTAGGACCAGCAGCTGGAGTAAAAAACAGATCCCTGAGAAAGCTTTAAAAGCTCCTTCCCCCCACCCATCCCAAGTGCCCCCATGCTAATTTTGCTCGAGGGGCAGAAGCAGCCCACCACACCCCCCCAGCCTGCACACAGGAGGGTTGTGCTTTCACCTGGTATTTTAGCATCGGATGCATTAAGGCTTCTTCTGCTATTGCTACATAGGGATCTGGAAGCTCCGGCTGCCAGGGGTATTAGCTGCAAGCTGCCTGCTAGTCAGTCCTGGATGCCCAGGGCAGGCCTCCCCAGCCTGTGCTGAAAGCAGCATCCTAGGCAGAGAGGGCAGGAACAGACAAGTCCCGGAGCCGCAGGGGCCTGTCCCAGCTCGGCCCCTGCAGATCCCTTGGTGCTCCAACAGCCTGTTGGGAAAACCTGGCAGCACCGACCCTGCCTTAAGGGCCAAGTCAGGCAGACTCAAGGCTCTCCTGGAGACGTTCCCACCACCAAGACTGCTCCTTTGCAGTGGAAGACCATGGGGGCTTAGCTGTTCGAGGTGGCAGCCAGGTGGAAAGCAGAAGTTTATCGTTCCTTCTGGGGACAGTGACCAGGGGCAGCTGCATCATGGCCCTCCTCACTCCCCTCTGCACCGTGGGTCTTAGCGTGAGCCATTGGTGAACACAGAGCAGCTGCTCTACTGGACCCATCCGTGCACCATCCCCCAGATATCCTGCACTGCAGCAGGGGCTAAAAGCAACAGACTGTGGGTTATTTGCACTGTTGGAAAAAGCCCATCCTCAAAGCTGTCCCTTCTCATAGCACCTGCAGCACGAAGTGCCCCGTGCTACTCTCCCATGGCAGCGCGACAACCCCGATACCACGCTGCTGAAATCCAACCATGTCTGGGGGGAGCACAGCAGGTTTGTATCCGTGACCTGGTCACACCAAGCTAATATTTCTCTGGAAAGCCAAGCAGGCGCAGTTGTGAACTTATCAGAGAACAGCACGCTGCACATGGAATGTATATTCATATATAGTAAAAAGTCTTTATTAAGAAGGCTTTGAAGTCAAAAAATAAAACTCTTGATACAATTTCATAACCGTCAAGTCAGCTCAGCAAATATATAATCAGTACTTTAGCCATGTAAGGTCAAAGGTCCGTTATTTTCTTTTAAAATAAAATATATTTTAGTTTTTAAAATTTATTCAATAAAGTCCATATTTCCCTATAAATTCCCTACATATACAGAAGAGGTAAAAAATAAAAAAATAAAACAAAACAAACAAAAAAACCCCCAAAACAACCCAAACAAACGAACAAAAAAAAAACAAAAAACCAACCACAAAATAAAAAGGAGATAGAAATCACTGTGTTGTGTGACATGATGTGGGTAACCTGGGTCCCCATCCCTCGGCTGCCTTCTTCAACCTCCTCTCTTCCTCCCCAGGCCACAACACTGGCCTTTTCAATGCATTTTGGGCAGTTTTTCACATTGGCAAAATAGAAGCTAGAACTGTTACAAAAACGAAGGTTATATATATATATATATATATATAATATATATATTTATTAAAATATATTTATTATATATATATATATAAATAACATATAACTGTCCAAAAATAACTACTGTACATACAAAACCAAAAATTATAATAATAATAAAATGCTTTTAAAAAAATAAAGACAACCCTTGTGTGTCCTAAAATAAAAAGTGCAACCGGACCTTTTCTGTCTTGTTTATTTCACTTTGCAAACTGAATACTGTTATTTGGAAAGAACTGTTGAAGAACAGCTGGTCATTCTCCGTCCCAGCCCTGTGGCTGGA